TTTCTATTCGCCCACTGACACGACGATCATTCGAATCAATTCGACTGGAGTAAATGGTCTACTGCGTTCTTATGTCATAATTTAATCTCGGTTCACAACTGGAAGGTCATTTTACTATTGCGCGATGTTCTATCTAGCTTTTAATGCTGCACCGAGCGCTAGTTCTATAGAAACATTTATTTAGACTTTTCGTCATTTTTATTCTGATGTATTGATGTCAAGAATTTTTTCACGAATTTTTTATGTAAGAGACTATAAAATTTCTATAATTTTAATTCTCTATAGGCCAGACCGAGGCAAATTTTATTTAAAATAAAAATGAACAATAACTATTTCAAATGATTTATTTCAAACCGTTATTCGAAAATAAGAATAATATCGATTCATTTGAGGTAAAGCGATTTCAAATAATAAAATGTTTCGTTATTTCATTATTTCAAATTGGCCAAAAGAAATAATGGCGAAAATCATATTGAACAAAAAGGTTTTATTTTATGACATGTTCACAATAATTTGTTTAAAGCAGACGGGTGTAAAACAGTCCCAAACATTAACTTTAACTCTATAATTATTTCAAATAATTGTAAAATAAAATAACATGTTACTTGAAATAGTATTACGAGTAATGTCATTTCAAATGTGCCAATGTCTGCTACAGTCTAAATTGTNTTGTCACGGACCATAATCTCGGAGGATATTCAGATTTGCAAGTGTGATACCAGTTCGTATTAATTCTCGCGCACATACTTATGCTTCCGTTCGAATTATTAAGGAAAACCAGTCGATGTACAACCGAAATAACACGCTGACGTGTAGATAAACTTAGGACAACGGAGCTGACGTAAGTATTATGCATAGAATTATGACAGCGTTCATCGAAAAATTCATACATCGAACATGCTGCGGATGACTCAATAAAAACGGCTCGGAACTTCACATTTGACATTCACGACAACTATTAACTTGTGACACGACCGCAGACACTCGAACTATAACGCGTTAGCACCACGAGCGACTCAATACTTCCACTATTTTCCACTTTTCCACTATTTTCTATACACTAGAGCGACGCGTTTCGTGAATCGTCTCGCGAAAACTTAGCGCGTTCGACGGCGAAGAGATCGCGAGCGATTTCTGACAGCGTCGTACGGTTCGACGCGTCGGTTCGCGACTAAATCGCGATTCAGCGCGGCGAAATGATACGGTGCACGACGGAAAAGCGTACTGGAAACGCGTCTAGCCGCGATGATCGGTTGATAAAGTTATCGCGTGTGCACGTTGAACTCGCCAGTCACAAACAACGGTTCTTCTTCGCCGTGAACAGGCGAAACGAGCCGATTCGCACTCCCTCCACTTTCCAAGCGATTCCACCTCTCGATGCATCTCTATTTTTGCTGAGAACGCTCGAATTTCTATTCGCCCACTGACACGACGATCATTCGAATCAATTCGACTGGAGTAAATGGTCTACTGCGTTCTTATGTCATAATTTAATCTCGGTTCACAACTGGAAGGTCATTTTACTATTGCGCGATGTTCTATCTAGCTTTTAATGCTGCACCGAGCGCTAGTTCTATAGAAACATTTATTTAGACTTTTCGTCATTTTTATTCTGATGTATTGATGTCAAGAATTTTTTCACGAATTTTTTATGTAAGAGACTATAAAATTTCTATAATTTTAATTCTCTATAGGCCAGACCGAGGCAAATTTTATTTAAAATAAAAATGAACAATAACTATTTCAAATGATTTATTTCAAACCGTTATTCGAAAATAAGAATAATATCGATTCATTTGAGGTAAAGCGATTTCAAATAATAAAATGTTTCGTTATTTCATTATTTCAAATTGGCCAAAAGAAATAATGGCGAAAATCATATTGAACAAAAAGGTTTTATTTTATGACATGTTCACAATAATTTGTTTAAAGCAGACGGGTGTAAAACAGTCCCAAACATTAACTTTAACTCTATAATTATTTCAAATAATTGTAAAATAAAATAACATGTTACTTGAAATAGTATTACGAGTAATGTCATTTCAAATGTGCCAATGTCTGCTACAGTCTAAATTGT